TAACTCGTTAACGGTGCCTCGGAGAACATTTTTGTAAAGGAAGAAGATGCTTCAAATGATCCGAGGAACCCGCCATTTCCGGATTGCGAGACATTTTTGGGACATCCTGCAGACTGTTGTAAATCGATGTGAAGACAAAAGAAGTGTGAAACGATGCATATGAAGACGATTATTTGATTCAAACGATGACCGAGTGAGCTACTAGAGCAAGCCACTATAGTGGCGCGTCGTTCAGAGAGATGACATTCGCGGAAATCACTATAGTGGCGCATCGTGCCTAAAAGGTTAATCGTATCTCCTCTTTCCGAATGGTCCATTTTTGTTCATAAGCATCCATTTTTGTTTAAGACTGTTTTTATGGAGAGAAGACGTTCGCGAGAATTTTCGCGACACGTAAACGGAGGCTCGAAATTTTGTTAAATTGTTTTGCCATTTTACCGTTACTGTTCAAGAGGCTAGAGATACATGGTAGGGACACGGTAAAGTAGGGTAAAGAAGTTACCGACAAAAGTAGGCGAAGATATGAGTTTACGCAAGGTATCATTTCGTCCTTGTAGGAGAATATTTTTCGTCGGAGAAGGGATCATTCGAAGGAAGAAGATTCAGCGCAATGCGCTGTGATCATGATTCGATGAGATTGTGCGGAGATCTAGTAATATAAGCGTTAGAAAGTAGGGCATAAATTGACGATACAAAAGACATGGAATCCAATCGGATGAGTTTGCTGGATAAAATCGAGGGCAGAGCGCGCTAGAAAATATTACTAGCTACAAACTGAACACGGTGAAAACAATGCAGCATATACCGACTTGATAACTCTAAAAGTCACGTGACTAACCAAGCCTCTTAAGTTCGATAAATTTGGCCCGCCAATTTGGCTGGAATATCATATAGAGCTGCGTTTTCCAGAAAAATAATGTTTGCGAGATGGATTTTCAGTGGCACGCAAGTTAAAACTCAAAATATTGCAAAATTGTTTTATGTTTTTACTGTAATATGACGCTCAGCCTTACCGATGTCTGTGGTCAAATCTGTGTCAGATTTAAATCACGCAGCGAAAATTTTGGCCTCGTTGGAGCGAGAAGAAGCGGTATGCAAATGAACGATCCTAGTCTCGATAATCAAACAAAATTTTTGAGTCCTCCATAATTCTTCAAAAAACGGAAACACCAATAGATAGTGGGCCATTTTGTAAAAACAGTCTCCTGCACAGTCATTATAGGTGATAATAATGAAAACATTCTCAAAGGTGCTTGAAAATGAGCCAAGATTCAGCAAGATACGACCATCCACAACAGTCGCAATCCTCTAGAGTTACGGAAGGTACTTTATTCTGCTCCCCCCTGCTGTTAGACAAGCTTCAAATCCAACTAATTCTGACGCATTTTTCATAATTTAGGTCCGAGCTAGATTTTACTGAACTTTCGTGTCGCCAAACAATTCTCTCAAAATATTATTTTCATATAAACGAAGCTGTTTGTCAAATGTAATATACAAACGAGTCAATTCACGTTAAATGAGTATGTTGCACCATCTATGCGTAATAGTAGCAATCATATTTATAATCAGGATGTTTTTATTAGTCGATAACGTTGAATAAATCAACACAGATAAGGCATCAGCACAAACGAGGTATAGAAGCTAACCTAGCATTCAATGCATTTTTGTATCACATGAAAATGGAGCGCTAGTACTCCATTATCATCGCGCTCCTTTCTGCACTCGTCGTTACTGATATTTCAGAAATTTCAGTGCCTTCGTAACAATTGAGTATACTGTATACCTTATTTATATTACGGTATACTTCGTAGTCACAATGAAGTATACTGTATACCTCATTTGTATTACGATACGCTATTTTGTAAGAATCGAGTATACTGTACACTTCATTTGTATTACGATTCGCTTCTTAGTGAGAATCGAGTATACTGTATACCTCATTTGTATTACGATTCGTTTCTTAGCGAGAATCGAGTATACTGTATATCTCATTTGTATTACGATTCGCTTCTTAGTGAGAATCGAGTATACTGTATACCTCATTTGTATTACGATTCGTTTCTTAGCGAGAATCGAGTATACTGTATATCTCATTTGTATTACGATTCGCTTCTTAGTGAGAATCGAGTATACTGTATACCTCATTTGTATTACGATTCGTTTCTTAGCGAGAATCGAGTATACTGTATATCTCATTTGTATTACGATTCGCTTCTTAGTGAGAATCGAGTATACTGTATACCTCATTTGTATTATGATACACTTCTTAATTAGAATCGAGTATTCCATATGTCACATTTGTATTTGGATACACTTCTTAGCGAGAATCGAATATACTGTATACCACGTTTGTATTAAGATACGTTTCATGGTGAGAATGCAGTATACTGTATATCTCATTTATAGTAAGTTACGATTCTTAGTGATAACGTTCCTTCTTTTTTATATTTACTTAATGTACATTGTGTCGTCGAACGTCTACTTTTTGACCATATTCGAAACATCTACGTACGATGTGCTTTCCTCATAAAAGGACGAAATACATTTTGCACAAAAAATTATCCATGAAACTTTGCGTATTTGTTGGGTCATAGATCGGTCATTATTTCCTAGTATAATCTTCATGTTAACCCACAGAAAACGGAAGGGCCGCGGGTCCAAGTCGGCACCAATCTTCCAGCAAAAATCGTAGAAAAATTCAAGCTTTTTAATATTGTACGATTTTATATCGATTCGATTTTTTAAACGTGAATATGTGAACGCATTTTTCAATTCTTGGTATTCTTGAAAAATCCATGAAACGTGAAATTTCGCATTAATATTCGGACACGATATTATTAGAAGAATTATTGCTCCTACTTATTGTTTATGATAGTCGTGTCTGGTCTTATTTTAATTAGAAAAAGCTCACGATTGCATTGGCAAAAATCCCATTAGGAACTAATGAAGTGTAATAATAATAATATAATATAATATATAATATATAATATAATAAAATATAATATAATATAATATATATAATAATAAATAATAATAAATAATATTGCGTTATTATCAATCCTTCATTTCCTGTTTTTTTCTACGTTCGGAAAAAGATAAAATCGAACTCTGAATCTTGATCTAAGGCACTTCAGTCCCAAGGTCATCTGCTCTGCCTGGTATCGTGCTCCCACGTCTAATGTGTCACGAGCCTAATTCTACCGACATTCTGCCGTTAATTTCGTCGGTAATTCGGACGACACACCGCCAATAATTCCTCCGTTCAAGGATAACTTTCACACATACGTGTAAATATTAGTATTTAAGAACAAAGGACATTTAGTTACCGTATCAGAGCGTCTACATTATTTCGCGACCCCAGAAGAACCTGGCCAGCCGACTGAGCCGTCACAAAGTGAAGCACTTTTTAAGCTCATTAAATGATTTAAAAAACATACCTTGGGGAAACGGTTCGTTTTCGAATTATAATACAAATATTAGTACATATATATATTATATATATATATATATATATATATATATATATATATAATAATAATAAATTTATATAATAAATTATATATAAATATATATAACAAATAATATAATAACAATAATAGTAATATATAGATATCTATATTATTATTGTTATTATTATATGTATGTACATATCTTTACCATATTTCACGCGTAAAATGAATTTTTTTATGTCATCAACAGAATGCAACTATCGCTCTAAAAATATCTGTTTATTCTGTTGCGTTCGCCTGTAGTTATTACTGAAAGAAAAGGTATCTGTCACTGAAAGAATTGATGTAAGGATTGCTAGTGTTTAGCAATCATTTAAGCCACGTTCTTAACACGATAAGTTTCGTCGGTGTTTTTTACGATCTGCAGCTCTCTCAATCAGTAAAAGTTTCTTAGTCAATTGCATTTCGGTCGCCGCAACGTGTGTTTCATGCGTTCTAAAAAATCTCAAAGCATGCCTATTCGAAATGAATTCGAATAATTGTGAAAGTTGCGGAATTTCGCTTTCCAAAGAGGCATGCAAAGAAATAAAAACATAGAACAATACAAAATTGTACCAGAAATGTTATTTCCGAGCCTCATTTGCAGATCTGAGTGATAGAAGTGATGTTGCATCAAGTGATTCGGTAATTGCACCAAATGACAGTGATCTGATGATATATATATGATATATATATATATATACATTTATATACCCAATAAATGAATCGATAAATACTTCATAAATAAATACTTGATTAATAAAAGGATAAGAACAAGAAGTACTAGTTGAACATCGTATAATTATATTTGAACGATATATATTACAATTGTACGATTATAACTATTTTTGATCTGTTTGTCGCAAACGCCACACTGATAATAAATGAATCGATAGGGAAGTATTGCAGAATCGCGAATAAAGAATACAACAACAAACTGCGCTATCTGGTACCGAAATTGAAGATTTTATCCATTTTCGTAGTTATTGTTAACTCGTAAAAGTTCAATAATCATTGATTAGTGGCAGCTGAAACCTTTCACGGTTCGGTCAGTAATCATGCAAATAGAGATTGTAATTTTATAGAAAATATTCCAAGATTACAGGAGCAACTTCGAAGTAAACAAAGATACGCAACATTCGATAATCTCTCCAAAGAGGAAGATAAAACCAGAAATCACACAGTACTTTTGATTGTGTTAAGATAATAAACTGACGAATCCAAGAATATTTTAGATAAATTAAAAGTAAACAATCTCTCGTGAAGATAACGATTGGCATACTTGAAACTGTTGATATCAGATAACTTTACTCCCTCATAGAATGGTTATCTAGGATTACAATAGTTAGGAAAACAAATTAAAAAACCGAGAAGAGACACACAACAGCCGTGATTGTTATCTACCTTAATTCATTTGTATAAGTATGATTGTGAAGTTATGAATGTTATGTTGACATATGGTCGAAAGAAATGATTGACGAAGTGTACGGAAAATTCGAAAGAAATACACAATTTTACAAGTAGTTAAAAGCAAAGAATGTTATTAATTCTGAAATCTGTCGTCGAAGACGAACGTACATACATATTGAAAATATTTAAGTAATTCTGGATAAGTGTTACGTTGTTCACACAGGAATTCGGATCCACTAATCGTTCAGCTATTTACTGAAAGCAAATGGTAGATCGGAACTCGTTAATATGCGAATAATTTTATTATGTAGCTGCACAAAAATTTTCAAAAAATTACGTACCGACAAACGCATATTTTGTGTCTGGTGCATGTACCCGATGACTTGCCCATTGCTCTGCAGCGAGCAATGCAACATGGGTTTCCACACAATTGACAACTCAAAAATGGCTGCGCGACCGGTGCATCATCGAGATCTTCGACTTTATCGACAAGATCGTATTCTTCTAGACCTGAAATTAATTGTAAATGTTAGCGAAGGTCTAATTTCTACTAGCATCGTCGTGCCAAATGTCGTTTTGAAACGAATAAGGTATTTTTACGATACTCATTTTTCAGCACTTAATTAATACGACTTGGCCGAATATTGGGTCGAGCAATAGATTCGTTCCGTATAGATATAATTTAATATTGACAAACGGTTAAAAAAGGTATGACATTAGTACAGATTTCTTTACATCGTATACGTATACAGGGTATCCCAAAATTATGTTATTTCTGATAAATTGCGGATTCCTGGGGTAATTTGAAGTAATTCTTTCCTTTACAAAAATTTTCTCCGAAGCATCGTTAAAGAGTTATTAACGAAAAACACTGACCAATGAGAGGCGAGTTCGGGTGGCGCGTAGCGGCTGTGTCAGAAACCCTTCATTTGCGCGAAGTACCACAATTTTAAGACACCCTGTACTCTGTGACGCATACGCTGCTAACACGAAGCAGAACATACTTCCTGTTCAATCTAATATCTTCACGATTCAGTTATAATTGTAAAATAGTTAAAAATGTTTTCGCATATTAATTCCATCGAATTGACTAAAGAAATTCACACTATCGATGTTGAAACACCGAAGGCTCAGCTTGCAAACATCCCATCGTTAGTTAAATTCAAAGAAAGCATTTCCTCGATAGGCAAAGGAAAAAGCTATTATAAGCAAGTAAGTGAAGCGACTTAGTTGTTGAATGTGTTTAAAACAAGTAAAGAAATAAACGGATAAACAAATTATTTCGTAGCGATTGAGGAAATCATTATCTGTCAAGTGATGTTTTTCATGCTTTGCAGGAAACTATTATAAATATTTTTCCGCATTAGTAGCAACATTCTTATTATAGAAATGACAAAAGCAATTATAAATATATATTCACAAAAATCAGTTCACCTTCGATATCCTCGACGGAGGCAGACCTCACTGCAACCGCAGCCAAGCAAAGAGCTCCAAAGAGAATTAAAAGCTTCATGTTGTGGAAGTTCGGTACAATAACTTTTACCCACATCGTGATCTTTATATACAGCAGAGATGCATCCTCATCCTACCACTACCCCAGGGAGATGTGTACATTGCAATCAGATGCACTGATACGGTCGCTGTCCGTTTCGAAAGGGCGAGAATATTTCAGAATTACTCACAGTGAATCAATATGTATATAGAAATAAGATAAAATCTGAATTGCAGTTTTCCGTCGCAATGCACCTGATTGCACGAATTACAAATTATCTGTATTATAAATAGACTGTGGATCTTATACGTTCATATTATTTCATAACAGAAACATTAGAAATGTTAATATATTATTATAATTAATGTGTAAAATGTTAATATATTATTATAAATAATATATAAAATATTAATGTATTAATGCAATTAATATATGAAATATTAATATATTAATGCATTTAATATATAAAATATTAATATATTAATATAATTAATATTGTAGTTTTGGAATAGTTATGGACAAAGTGTTAAGATATAGAATGATAAGAGTATACTCAGATTTCTGGGTATATTTTATCCTATAAAAATATATATGCATATTCCCTATCGCGAGTCTTCTGGACGAATATCTCAATTAAAGTATGAGCCAATTTACTATTTTAAAGAAAGAAATGTATTCATACACATACAAAATACAATATATGTAAATATATATATCAACTCAGACATTTAGTGCCAACAACTTATGAAATTAGAGGAATCAATCGAAGTGCACAGGCCAGAATTAGAGCAAATCGTAAAGGAATCGTGTTCCACCATGATAATGCGAGGCCTCGCACATCTTTAGCAACGCGAACAAAATTATTGGTGCTTGGTTGGGAAGTGATGTCGCATCCTCCATGCAGCCCCGACCTTTTAAATGGTAAAAATTTCAATAAGTACGATAGCCTCAAATGGCACTTGATTGAGTTTTTTTACTGATGAGGCTCAGAAGCTTTATGAGTTATCATGAAGTTACTAGGAAGATGGCAAAAGATCATCGAACAGAATAGAAAATATTTGACTGATCAAAGTTCATATCTTGTACAGAAGAAATTGAGTTTTATTTCGCATTGAAATACCGAAATTACATTCCTGCCAACCCAATAATAATAATAATATAAGTAACAAATAATTAAAGATCGTTCTTCGCCACTTTCGACCGAAAACTGTAAGAAATCAGCAGCTTTTGAAACCTTTCAACGCTTGTAGCTTGATTCTAGGTTAACAGATTTCGATCAAATTTTGCAGCATGCACACAAGTTACCTAGATCCAAGAATGGTATTTTTTAAACATTGCATATAGAAATTGCTCAGATGAAAAAGTTAAAAGACGAGATTTTTTTACTATCTTTGTCATTCCAAGTGAGAGAAAGCATGTCAATCATTGTCTAGTGGACTAGTTCCTCTATCATCCAAAAAAGATTCATATCGTTTAGTATACTTTGACAATATCTATTGCCTCCTAAAAGGTGTTCGGAATACTTTCGTGAACCTCGGTACATATGTATAAGTTAAAATACGAAGATCTTTCAAATGTGAACTGACTTACAACGCAACAATCGATTTTCTGTGGATTTTTCTATGAGTTTTCTGTGAAAAACTATATAATTCGGTAACTCGGTAACTGATAAGATAGTTTCGTAACAGCTATGTCTTCAAGTGGTATCATTCACTTTATCAAAATCAGAATATCTGATTGCTAGGTACATATCTCCCTTTATGCCCTGTGGTGGTGGTAAACAGTGAATCGATCTCTGCCGTATATAAAGGCCACGATGTAGGTAAAGGATATTGTGCCAAACAGACGACATACAAACTTCTACAACATGAAGCTCTTAATTCTCTTTGGAGTTCTTTGCTTGGCTGCGGTTGCAGTGACGTCTGCCTCTGTTGAGAAGGTCGAAGGTAAATTGACTTCTATGAATCTATACTTATAATTACTTTTGTCATTGCTGTAATAAGAATGTTGCCACTAATGCGAAAAAATATTTATAATAGTTTCCTGCAAAACACATGAAAAACGACACTTGACAGATAATGATTTCCTCAATCGCTACGAAATAATTTGTTTATCCGTTTATTTCTTTACTTGTTTTAAACACATTCAACAACTAAGTCGCTTCACTTACTTGCTTATAATAGCTTTTTCCTTTGCCTATCGAGGAAATGCTTTCTTTGAATTTAACTAACGATGAAATGTTTGCAAGCTGAACCTTCGGTGTTTCAACATCGATAGTGTGAAATTCTTTAGTCACTTCGATGGAATTAATATGCGAAAACATTTTTAACTATTTTACATTTATAACTGAATCGTGAAGATATTAGATTGAACAGGAAGTACGTTCTGCTTCGTGTTAGCAGCGTATGCGTCACAGTACAGGGTGTCTAAAAATTGTGGTACTTCGCGCAAATGAAGTGTTTCTGACACAGCCGCTACGCGCCACCCGAACTCGCCTCTCATTGGTCAGTGTTTTTCGTTAATAACTCTTTAACGATGCTTCGGAGAAAATTTTTGTAAAGGAAAGAATTACTTCAAATTAGCCCAGGAATCTCCAATTTATCAGAAATAACATAATATTGGGATACCCTGTATACATATACGATGCAAAGAA